AAGAAGAAAAAAAGAAAAAAAAAAAAAAAAAAATAATACACTCTGTTTGCCCCCCAAATTTTGCATAACTTATTTTCTTAAAATGCTCTTGGGAAAATGCAATACTCCCAGGAGCATTTAAAAACAATGGTTTATGCAGAATTTGGGGGGCAAACAGAGTGTATTATGGGCAATTGGAAAATAGAGAATGTTAATAAAGTGTGTTTTGAATCATTATGTATTTCAACTTTTTATTAGAAGGCAGCAAAACAGTAGAAATGTGTATAAAGACAATGTTTTTATGTACTTGTCATCATTTGTCTTATTTTAGTGCAGATTTTGGTGGTCCTTAACCGAATTATGTATCAATCTAGCTTTGGAGATAGTCAATCATTCTTTGGGTTAGACGCCTCGTTCTGCCAAGACGAGTAGGTTGCATGACGCTTATCACAGTTTTGTCGGCATGTTCATTTTCATCGCCACTATCGGTATCACTGTCACTCTCACTATATGTGTCAATGGGTTCAGGCTGCTCTGTAGTATGCTGTTCTCTCACCTCATTGTCAAGTGACTCAATGATGTCAGGTTGTACCCCAGTTGTTACAAGCTGCAAATTCAGTGGATTCAAAATAGCCTCAGATTCGTAGAGATTCAAGGAAAGTGTCCCGGCCCTGTCCTTAGTGTTGTCTTGTCTGACGTTTCTTTGTCTCACTGACTTGCCACGCTTTTTAGCCCACGATCGCATTAAGGCTTCCTCATTCCTTGTAAGGACTTGTCAAACAGCAGGTTTCGGAATGCTTATCTTTGACAGTGTCACAGCACTAGTTGATGGAAGCTTATAATACGATGCCTGGTGAGTGTAGTATGCTGCAGCCCATTTTGAGACACGCTTCACTGCTTCCTCGACTGATGACCCAAATATAAGAGCATGCTTATAAAGGCTGAATGTATCACGCTTAAAATGGGTCACGGCGTGTTGATTTTCGACTTGGAGAGTAAGAAGTGCTTCCAAATTAAGCCGAATATTAAAGCCCGGGTATGTAGAGAGTTCTTTAATGTTATCCTCCATTTTTTGCAAGGATTTCTTCAAAAGCTCCAGTGACTTGAAACACTTTGACGAAACGGTACCTTCAGGGCCATTAGTCACCAAATGTTCACTAAGATGCTGAAGTTTCTTGGCTTTTAATGAGCAGGTCTTTACATACTCAAGTGTTTGGTTAACCATTTCAATTGCCTCACTGACTGTGTGATGCGTTGTCACTAGGGATTTACCTTTTGCATGGGTGTGGAAGGCTGTTAGAAGTGTCTGTAAATTACTCAGGAATTCAACAATACCGTGAAGAGGTCTGTTTATCAACTTAATGGAACCAGATCCTGAATCTGCAATATAAATGTTCCTGCTCAATTCTGTGCCGATTCCTACCGGCTGGCAGAGCAATGAATGTGATGCTGGCCCATCAACATCTCCTTCAAGGTTTCCACCGGAGATCACTGACACAATGTTGTTGTCATACAATTTAATGCGATGACTTTCACAATAGACCAGGCCTCTTTCCAGCCAAGAAACTGATGTTGCTTAATAAGAAATTGGGCTCAAACCATTGGTTATGAGTGTCGTGTTATTCTGAGGAATATTGTGAACGTAGATCTTTCCATCCACACACATAGCAAGATTATCTCCTGACAAAGCTAATGATGTGACATCATTCCATCCCTCTAAATATTCAATTGTCAAGATGATTGTTCCAAGAATACCAACACCATCAAAATTGGTGGTTACTAAGTAGATAGCCATTTGTGAGTTTGATGAAGCAGCAAGAAGGTCACTATTTCCTTGGCATAAAGCTGTGAGCTGTACTTCCTTGTTCAATGTAACTGTTCCAATAGTACCACACTTTCTATGGAGGCGTTGTTGTTTCTCAAGATAATGCTGTATTTTGGTTTGCATATTCTTCAGGGTAACAGTGCTGCCATCGTACTCTGAGGTGATATGTTGCTTGATGAAGGCTAATGCTCCTGCTTTGCTTCTGAATTGAGTAGATGTGGTTTTGCCTAAACAATATGACATAGCATTAGTAGATATATGTGATATATACCAACCATAAAATTGTGAATTGTTTTGTAAGTTTTACATGACATTAAAGATAGTAATGCAATATTGATATTCATTTCATGCATGACAAATACAATGTAAATTTACCTTCTATGTCAACGTAGAGTATACCCTTCTCCCCACAGAACAGAGCTGAGCCAAGACTCAAGTAGCAAAGACTCAGGCCTTTTAACTCCACATTTCTATGTACTATTTTGCTGTCTGCTGGACTGTGAAGCCGCACTTGGATGAGACCAGATGATCTAGTTTTCGAATTCCAGTTGAGAAATATGATATTTCCATTACTTGCTGGGCAAAGAGCATAGGGATGTTCATACATTCCTCCTTTATTTGGGTCACTTACTCTGTATCTGTCTGGAAGGATACTGATGGTTAAAAACATGTCTTTGATAGAATCTAGATAGGTCAGCAATTTGGAGTCAGTTAATATTGTAAGTGTTTCTGTAGCCATTCTATCCTTATTCCGGACTGATTCTGCAGTTAACAAATTTTGGAGAACCTCAGTAATCTCAGGACGTGATTTATTTCTCAGCATTCTGAGAGTACTAAGTGTGCTTCTGTCTCCTTCTCCTAGAATCAGAAACCAATTACTCCATGAACACTTGTAAGTTTTGACAAGATGCACAACATCAGAAAACACAACTAGGTACTCAAGGAACTGTATTTTCTCTCCAGCAACAAGATCAGCCATTTTACGATTTCCTGACTCACAATCAATGCTCAAGGCGAGTACAAGAAATGTTACACATTGGGTGTGATTTTCTAAGCACCTTTTACAAGTTCTTAATGATGGGCAATAACTTAATTGTCCTTCTTCTTTACATTTGTCACAAACAGCTTCCAAGTTCAAGCAAGTTTCACATAAAGAAGACTCAGAACACTGGCTACAAACAATAGTGTCTTTTGAGCTTTTAAGGCAGGCCTTGCAACACTGCAATTGCATCACCTCTTTAATTACATTTTCTTTTAGATTCTCTCCACCCTTGCCCTTTTTACTGCAATAAGATACTCCAACTGATAACGATGAGGTTTTGGGGGAATTTGTTAAGAGGGTAACAACAGCCTCAGTAGCAATGTCTTCTTTCAGATTAGACATAGTCTAATTTAATATTTCCACTTGCTAGTCCAACTATTGTTTTCTGTCTGGGGTCAAATTGCAGACTCGGCTGTAATGCAGTGCCATCATTGTCAGCATGAACACTTAAGAGGGAGTCTCCCTAAAACCGGTCCACTGCGTTTCGGGTCGGAAAATCAATTTCCTTTAA